CCCCAAAACCCCAAAACCCCAAAACCCCAAAACCCCTAATATTATTCCCATGATTGAACTTACACTCAAAAGTGACCCAAGCCAAGAAGATACTAATCTGGTCTCTCCAGTTGGAATTAGGGGTGAAAGAATGATAAATTTATCTCTGAGATGGGCAACAGTTGGATTCTTGAAGAAAGGACTCCTTAAAACTTGATGTTCTGCTCGCTGCGAGGAATAGCGTTAGCTCTTTACTATCCAGTGAGCTGAGAATCTGACATTTTGAAGATATCTTACTCCTCCTGATACTTTGTAGATACTATGAAGTTGAGCGAGGGAAATTACTGTGCCATGAAGAGTCACTAGACTCGGCCTAGAACTTGGGACAACTAGCTTCTTAGTTGAAGCAGGAGTGTTAAGGCGGCTTTGAATACCGTACACAGTGTCACCAACACAAGCACTCAGCTTATAGGAGATAACCTTTTTATTTTAGAGGAGTTGTTTTTTGAGCTGGCTTTACTGGCTCTAAAATTCGTTAAATAGTAAAATAACGGAAAATAAGAACATTAAAAATTTGAGAGTTTAAACTAAATAAGAAGCATACCTTTAATCTCAACGTTGATTTTGAGATTTAAAGGTCCTGGACTATCCATAAGCATTGTCATTCTGTCATTAAAACGTGAGTCAGGTCCTATTAAGCATAAACTTCAAAGCCAGTACTAGTCGAAGTGCAAGATTGATTTTGCTCTAATTTGCTTTTCTTCTTGAAAATCCTCTTCGACCCACTTGTCTTAGCTTTCCTAATCCTCTGCTTCATATTCAAATTCCGACTGAAGCCATCTACAATATTCCCTGCATTTTTCTTAAATCAAAACTTGGACTGGCTGCCTATGACTTTGTTTCCTAAAAATTTGAAGTATCAACCTTACTGTGATTTATTTCTCTATTTATACAAGCTTTCTCAAATCCTGAGGTTTGTCACCTCAAATGGTTTATTCCTCTCTTTCTTCTTGAGTCTTTGGCAGAGACCTTCTTTGCGCTGAGGGTTTGACTTGAAGTCGTACTGGTATTTTAGGGTTTTGAGAGGAAATTGGAGGCTGCTGGCTGGTTTAAAGGGAATTTGAGGATTAGTCAAGTGGCCATGTTGGCTTTGGAAGGGAGAAAGCTGTTTTGACTGGAGTTTGGAGGAGGTTGAAGGGGAAGGTCAGGTTGGGGAGTAGTTGAGTGATCTAGTGGGATTTCTGGTCTTGGTGCTAGAAAGGTGTTAGGGTGTTTTAAAAGGCAATTTAGGGTGCAATTTTTGCGTTTTGGAGGCCTGAGGGATATCTAATATTTGAATTTTGTATATAAGATCATAAAAATAAAAATTGCCATTGTTTCTTCTCAATATCTAAATTCCAAAAATATACAATTCGAATTCTTTAATCTTCCATCCTTGAACCTCTATCTCAAACTCAACTTCCAAAAATTTCTCAAAAACCTAAAACCCCACCTAAATTACAAAATTGCACCTCACATTCTCCCAAAACCCTTCAAATGCCCTTAAACCCATTCTAAATTTACTTTTGACTGCCATTTGATCTTCCCAAAGTCTTCTGTTTAATAATAAAATTTGAGATCTTCTTCTGATCCATTTCTAACCAATTGCAATTTTATTACTAGCTTGAGGGGTTTTGGGGTTTTGGGGTTTTGGGGTTTTGGGGTTTTGGGG